CACAGATGAATTATGGAACAACGGACAAGGAAGCACTTGCTGTGATTGATGCCCTTGCTGCATTCAACCACACCCTGATGGACAATACCTTCACCATTGTCACAGACCACCAGCCCCTTACTAACCTTAAAATGAAAAAGGCCCCTGGAAGAAGAAGAACACGATGGATAGGAGAGATCAGCGAATATGATGCAAAAATGATCTATACTCCTGGAAGAATGAAATATTTAGCTGATGGTCTCTCCTGCCTATATGAGAATCAAGAACTCACAAACACTCCTCTTGTATATGACCACACAAGACAAAGTGAAGATAGCCCTGACGACATCTCCTATGAACAAGAACCTTCGCTGGCTACCGCCAGCCCTACCGCTTGCTCCAATCCTTTCTCTTACACCATATACAGAGCTGCCGGAACAGAATGAGGAAAGGACGTTGATGACGAATGGAAAGACAATTGCACCCTCTTCAGCACACCTCCTCATGAACTTGAACAAAGCAGACTCCACTGGTCCCACTGTTACCTCGATACTTACCCCTTTCACTAGACAGAAATTAAATTCGGCAACAGATACCAGCGACCATATTATCTGTCTGCTGACAATTCCAAGAATGCCAGTTTCGACACCGCAGAAGAAGCAGAAGAGATGATCGATGAAGATGTATCGGCCCAACCTCTCTTTACCTTTAATCCAGTCCCCACACGACACCAAGGTCTTGAAGATCTTGAACAAGCAGCAGCCTATGTAGATGCAATATCTTACCTACACCCTCCACAGTCAGTCCCGCTATCCTCTCCTCCCATAATCAACCCACAACCACTAGATGGTGGACCCTTACAAGTATACAACAATGAAACTATTGTTTTTGTCATGCCTCCCACAATTCCCGACCATCACCGACAACTCTATAAAACCTTTGAAGAAGAGGAAACCCCTATCAAACCAACAAGAGGATCTCTCATTGAGGATAAAGAGATGTTAGATCAACTACAGAAGAACTAACCTCCTCTTTCCAAAGCCAAGTAATAGCAGGATATCACCATGACCCAATCTACTTCAAAGCTATGGATAGCTCCAGGCATGGCGATCTCGCCCCCTATAACATATCCAATGACATGGTCTATACCAGCACCTGTTATGGTGAACATTGCCTATACATCCCAAAAGGCTATATGTTCAATGGAATTACTATTAGGGAATATGTCATCACCGAAATTCACAATAAAGGATACCATAGTGCAGACTGCAACCTCCAATATGTCTCAAAATATGTTTACTGGCCCGAGATGCGAAAGGACTTCCGTGATTTCATCAAACAATGCAAACTCTGCCAGGCAAATAAGGAGCGAACACAACTACCTGAAGGGAAAGCACAGACCCTTCAACTACCATGTAAAATATTCAAATCCTATGCCATCGATTTTGTAGGACCATTCAACAAGTCCACAGGATATGATACCATCTTGGTAGCTGTAGATCGATTCTCTGGATACACATGGCTCATGCCAATGAAGGTTACCAATTCCTCCAAAAACACCTGGAATAACCTCCAACCAAACCTATTTACCCCCCATGGGTACCCCTTATCTATTGTCAGTGATGCTAATCCCTGTTTCACTGCCAGATTCTGGAAGCAAACCGTGACCTCCCTTGGAATCAACCACATTATGGCTGCCCCTGGATATCATGAGACTAATGGCCAAACAGAACGAAAAATCCACGAAGTCAAGGCAGGAATTAGGAACATGATAAATGAACGACAAACCAACTGGGAACCAGCCCTTGTTAAGCTCGCCACATATATCAATACTGGATTTTCAGACACCTTAGGAATGTCTCCATACAAGGCAATCTTCGGCCGTCAATATCCTCTGCTACTAACAACTCTATTTAAGAACTCCTCAGTCCCTGCCTCTGACGACCACCTAAACCACCATCAAGCAATTTGGAATGATGCCTTCCACTCTATTAAAGCTGCCCAATTCCGAAGTACCACTACTGCTCAGAAGCGACAACGCCAACTTGTTCCTATTCCACTAGATAATATGCTCATGGTACATGGAAACATGTTCATTACTAATGTTGGACGCAGCAAGAAATTACAACCCCGATGGCGAGGACCCTTCAAGGTCTTATGTTTTGACAAGCATACAGAATACTACACTGTCCAAATGGATGGACGTATGTACCGCCATAATACTGCAGTCTTCCACGCCTCTGCTGTCAAGCGTTTCCACCCAAATGACAACTCCAAGTTTCTTAGAAGAACCCACTCTCGACCTGCACCTATCGTCATTGATAAGAAAGATGAATGAAAAGTTGAAGAAATCCAATACTACCGCCTTTGGTATGGAAATGATCAGTTCCTGGTCAAATGGAAGGGATATCCAATGAGCGAAAACAGCTGGGAACCACTGGAAGGATTAGAGCACACTATAGATATGGTGAATGAATGGTGGAAAGACAACATGCCAAATGAATCCCTCCCTCCAATGATCAATTACATCACAATGTGCTGGACACCAACAATGCCTGAGACGAAGCGATAGCAGATGGAACTTGAAGCAAGGGATGGGTTTTGGGCACCATACTTTGAGTCGGAATTTGAAAGCAGTGATGATGAAAATCAAGCTATGGAGTAGGCTCTCGACGACTTTATCTGATCACCAATCACCATCCGAATACCGTAATGATGTCAAACTATGTAGAACTCAATGTGAGGCTGCGGCAACAGATTGTTGGACTGTTGTTAAACCACGATATTATCCAACTTGAAGACTACTTCGAAATCCTCTGGATAGACTACTGTCCTGATTGCGACAATGCTTGTGTTGATATACAACATGAATCCGGTATTCATGACTATTGTAATTTGCATTTCCTTGAGTCTAAATATTTCCTTAGAATTTCTTCTTGTCCCTGGTATGACACTTACGATGAAGAACTGATAGCGGAAACTGAAGCCCTTAGTTTCTTAGACTACACTTTTGATAATTATTAGGTTTTATTTGTTTAAACAGTTGTTTTGTTTTGGGGAATGTAACCGGTACGGGTACTCAGTTATTGGTTTTGTTTTATGTTTTGTTTTAAGTATCGCTTTAATACTTGGTTTGTTTTAAGGATCGTTTGATAGTTGGTTTTGTTTTATGTTTTGTTTTAAGTATCGCTTTGATACTTTGTTTGTTTTAAGTATCATTTGATATTTGGTTTTGTTTTATGTTTTGTTTTAAGTATTACTTTAATACTTGGTTTGTTTTAAGTATCGTTTGATACTTGGTTTTGTTTTATGTTTTGTTTTAAGTATCGCTTTGATACTTAATTAGTTTTACCAAAGTGTATCGATTGATACCTTTGATTTGTTTCATTTATGCTAGACCTAAACAGATTTGTGTATTTAAAGACCGCCTATTTCTACAATAGAAAGGCAGACTTCAACAGACAGTATTTCAATATACTTGGTTGAATGGTTACTTCTTTGTTCCTCAGTACACCTCCGAAGCCTCCTTTAGTTTTCAGCTCTCGCCTCCTCTCTGGAAGAGCAGGCCACCTGCCAACTATCGTATCTATTACCAATAACGTGACTACCATCTTACGAACACGTTACAATAACTACTTTGGCAGATGCAACCCTCAGATGAAACTTATTATTTCATCAATGATGGAGACAATTGGTGCCAACTCAGTTCTACTTGTGAACTAGGCCACAAGTCTAAAGACTCTGAGATTGTATAACTACTATTGGAAACAGTATGGTTCTTTGTTAAGTTATATCTTAATTACCAAAAAGGGTGTGGTGATTTTCAAGGTCTCTAGGTGTTCGCAGCTGTTAAGAATACCCAACATTGTGAGATATAATCAGAGAGGTACATACTTGTATAATAAATAAATGTAGTCCATAAACACTCAGACATGGAATATAAATATCAACATACCTCCTAAACTTTAGACACTATCTACTAGTTTAGTTAGTATGACCTATGCATTGATTTTTAAGGTCAGGTGTTCAGCTTCCACTGTGGTCAAACTTATTTTAGTAATTTATATACTTAATACTTTGATACAAGAAGCACCTCTAAACTGATGAAAGATCATCAAGCAACAGAAAGGAGACCTTAACAATATAATATCGTTTTTACAATTCTATCTTACTTTACTGAATTTACTTCACTCTTAGTAGTCATAAACGAAATAAGTAAATTCAAGCCTTCCTAGACAATCTCCATCTACAGAAACAAATCTTTGTTGGCCTGGACAATTCTGAAGTCTATCAGATTGTCTCCACCTAACAGTTTGATATTCATGCTACCTTCATCCTCCAATACCCTGCCTTCTCCATTCCACTTAAGTTGTTCTGTTGCCAGCCGTAATATCTGTTTTTTTGTGCGATTATGTGCTATTGGGTGATATAATGGCAGTTTCTATTCAGCTTATTGTTTAGATTTTAAATTGTATCCTAGTATCCCTTGTTTACTTTCACTAACCTTTTGTCTCAGTTCCCCTGATTCAAGTATCGAGTGATCATTCATGATGCCGGAACCCCATCTTGGCACATCTTTCCCCACAAATCACCTACCATTTCCGGCATTTCTCATCCAAAATCACTCACCTTTGAACTCTATTTTTGGCCTTTTCTTCATTACTCTTTTCACTTTTTCAATCGTAGAATTGCTCTCCTATTAATTCTCTATACTTCTACAATTTTATTTCCAGCATATTTCCTTGTTTTGGGTACTAACATTTAGGGCGAAAATTTCGAGTTTTTTCGCGTTGCCATCGACAGGTTTATCGCGACCGGAACCATAGTATCATAAGTGACGGTATCCGATCCTTATCAGTTGCAGATCAGTGAATCGGAATTAAGGGAGAGATCTCGGCACTTGCAACCCCAACCGGTACTTTATTTCCCGAGGTGGAAGGCTTATTTGTACAGTACAATAACCGATCTTGTCGGTTATATGCGGCGATTCCATCTCGTTTCGATACCGGTACTGAGGTCACCCGGATGATCCACTTCCTCGAGCACGATGAGGTGGGAGAGGGAGAGAGAAACAAGAGCTCCCATCATGGTAGGACAGAGAGGGTCTATGACACGCACCTGCTTATTTGTGTGGTTTTGGTCTCATATCATGGTGTGTATGATATGGTATCATAGCTTTGGTGAGCATGGTGCCCCAAGTAACCCCCCACCCCCGTACCTACAACTGCTCATCCCATTTCTCACGATCCTTCTTCTCTTCTACCCTCCCCTGACTTCCTCCTCGTTACGTCCGCTCTTCTCTTTAGTCTCCCACTTTCACCACTATCACCACCAAGCACTTGTTCTGCTCCATCCCCGCCACTACTTCCATCTTCCACTCTCACCTCACTATATACGAGGGTCTTCAGCTGGGACAGGGGCAATTCATGGCTCTTCACCAGACTCGCATGCTTCTACTCACTCGTGCAGTACCCCTTGCAAGACCACTGAAAATAATTAGATCCGCCTCCACCATTTCAACACCGAGTTCCAATGTTGGTATCACGCCTTCATCACCACAACAGGAAGCTTCCGAGCTCTCTGTGAGATCCTTCGTGGCCCCTCCTCCAATCGCAGCAAGCGACCACCCGTTGGCTCGTCTATCGACCGCTAGTTTGCTTCGTGCAATGCTTCTTCACTCCTTCACAGCTTCTCCTTTTCTGTGCAAACTTGGGACCAAATTTATTATGATGAATCTCGACAGCTTGAAGGGCGGTTTGATGAAATGGGGAGTCGACAAGACTTTCTACGTATGCTCAAAAACTCGCACAAGACAGAGCTTCCTTTGTCGCTAATATGGGTCGAAAAAAATAAAAAATAGACTCAATTCTGTGCTGGATCCACCTCTGCCGAGATAACTGCTACCATCTCTGAGCTTCGTTCCCTTGGACTCGCAGGTGTTATTCTTGCATACTCCCGCGAAGCCGAAATTACCGATACTGCTGCGTCTTCGGAGAGCCAATCGCAACAGATCAAGCAGTGGTTAGATGGGTCGTTGAAGGTGAGTTGAACCGCACCCCTGGTCTTTGATTGGTTGGGTATTTTCTCAGACAGCGGCATCGTATTCGCAGACAATTGCATGTGTTGAACCGGGTGATTATGTTGCCATTAAGTACTCTGGTGCTGGGCTCTCCTCACTTCCACTACTCAGTCAGCATAAGCCTTGCTTTGAATTTCCCGAGCTCGGAGATGCGCTTCTGAAGATCTGCAATTCTGCAAAGGCCAAGGGCGTGCGAATCCTTATCGATGCTGAGCAAGCTAGCGTCCAGGATGGTGTGCACGATTGGACTTTGGTACGTTTTTCCTCAGCTATTGTGCCGGTTCGGTTTGCTGCGGAGCCGGCGGGTGACCACCAGATCTGGAAAAGGATGTTCTCTCGTTAGAGGATCTCGCTTCCACATTCCTGTTCCTGGCAACGGTGGAAGGTAGCATAAGCTAATTTTGTAAAAAAAAAAAAAAATAGAACCTCATGCATCGGTACAATACCGATGGCAAGGCTGTGGTTTACAACACTTATCAGATGTTAGATCCTTATCGTTCTTATTCTTGTTATACTTCCTATTATTATTATTATTATTATTTATTTCCTGACATCGGTTATCGCTGCTGACTTGGGTATTTTTTTTATAGGTATCTTAAGGCTTCGCCCGAAATCCTCTCAGGCATATCAAGATAGCTCACAAGGATAGCTTTACACTTGGAGTGAAACTCGTCCGCGGAGCTTACCTGCATACCGATCCTCGTCACCTAATCCACGACACCAAAGAAGGCACGGACCATGCGTATGACGACACCATTAGATTATTGCTGACTGGCTCTCCAACCCCAAAGCCGGGGAGAGCCTCTTTCTATGATGCACCCATGGCCCGCCATCTTTCCAAAGGAACGGGCAAGACCGACCTCGTTGTTGCCTCGCACAATAGGGAATCCGTCGAATTGGCACTTGGTCTTAGACGCCAGCTCGGGTTGAATAGTGGTGTTGGTGAACTTACCTATGCTCAACTCATGGGAATGGCAGACGAACTCTCATTGGGCCTTCTCTCTGGGAGACCGGATGATGAGGAGGTTAAGGTTTATAAGTATGCCGTTTGGGGAACTACCCAGGAATGCGTCAAATACCTTGTTAGAAGAGCGGAGGAGAACAAGGACGCTGTGGCCAGGACTTCTGAGAATAGGGCTGCCTGCATGAAGGAGATCTGGAGGAGGATGAGGTTTGCGAAGGCTTAATGTTGCGCTTCAATTATTTTCTTCCTCTCTTTTCCCCTCTCAATTGTATGAGTAAATGCGCTACTCTTTTTTCGTCTTTCCCTCTTTTTTGTGGCCCTTCCTAGTATTACCATTCTTGGGAGACCTGATTTTGCGTATAATATCATCGGTGCGGGATTTCCTTGATTATTCTTTGCATTTTCTTCATATTCATAGCGAGCATTGTATCACGCATGGTTTAAATCTCATTTATAATGTAGCCTTTTGTTTCCTTTCCTTCCTCTCTCTCTCCCAATTTGGTTTTGCATTTAAAGTGAGTTTAGGAGGTATAGCATGATGTACTGAGTGGTGTTTTCGAAATAGATGTTCATGGACTCCATGTACGAGGCTATCTTCAAAAATCGCTGACACCCCCCCCCCCACTTTACACGAAAAATGGGCATTTTCACTTTGCAAAAACCTCCGCTTTGTCACCCTGTAAAAAAAAAATCTGCCAGAGCCTTTGGAGCCATCATATATATCACAATTTATAAGTGATGAGCTCTGTTGATTAATGGCCATGGTGCAATACAACAAATAACAATTGCGAACAAAAGATACTTCTAATTTTATGTGGGTTTCCCTTACAAAAGGCACATTGCAACAGCATCCAATCTGGCCACACATCTCTCAGCTCTCAAGATGGAGTGGAAAAATTAACATAATTTTCATGCAGAGATTCCGGGTACTTCCCGACACAATGGAATCAATTTCCTTAATTCTCCATTGCCTTTGGATGAATTGAGCATGTTTAAAACCAGCCATTTTTGATGTAAAATGAGGGGGTATCAGCGAATTTGAAGATAGCCTCGTGCCTATAATTTACCTACTTGAAGGTATGATATCTCGGCCCGCAGGTGCGGATCATTAGTAATCACTCGAGATATTGGCTCCCTCCCTACCCTCTAGCGAGTCTACTGGTACCCCACCTCGCAAACATGAGGGAATAAGTATCATAAGGCTATGCCGCCAACCTTTCCTGCCAAACAAACCTCCAAGAGACAGTTGCAAGCCACCCACCAAACCGCCACAGTGGATCCCCCCCACCCAAAAAAAGACAATCAAACAAAATGACAAATCACAGTCAAACGGCAGGAGCGGCAACGATCGAAAGGAACATCCTATATATCGCGCTCCCCCCCTCCCCGCCCCTCGCAAGGAATGCTCTCAACATGAACCATTACACACAAGATGCCCCCCTTCAATTTCTCCAAGGAGGAAATGAGGGGAAAACCACGGACGGTTAGGACATCCTGTAGAGTTCACCGTCCTACTCCGTTAGGGAAGGGGCATGTTGGACTTAGTCCCTGTCCGCCGTACAGAGGTAGTTCTTTCTTTTCCTTTAGTCAAAAGACTTTTGTTCGTTTTCTCAATCTGTGACTACGCCTGATCTAATTATAAGTGGTTTACCGCATTGGGTACCTCTTATAGTTGGATGTCGGAATAAGGGTATCACTACTGCGTCATATTGAAAAGGTGGCTACTGCCTGGTGTTGAAAGGTGGCCTATATGGTATAGGCCACAGTGTTCGGTGTGACTGCTTAGTGGATGTAGTATATTAGGATCTCTTCTCGTTTTGCATTTGGAAAATCAAGCTTCTTCTCTCCTACTCCGGGAACACACACACTCACAGGGCAAGCGAGTGATTATTTGTGATGAGGTTTTTTGGTTTGGCATTTGTGCGGGCTTGTTGCGTTTGTATGTATGGTGCCGGTATGTTGTACGCGAGTTGGTTCACGTATTATCATTTTTCCCCAATCTCGTCCCGTTCTTTTTCCTCTTGTTTTTCCCTCATTTTTTTCCTCAGAAATTCATATGTAAAATTCTGAGGAAACACATCGCCCCCTCCCTACCTGTCGTTTACACGACAATGAAAAAAGAGCAACTGGCATGCTACAGGATAGTATTCATTTATTCGTTCGCAACCCCCCAACCGACCGACCAGCCGACCCTACCTAGCGCATTGCAACAGCCATAGTTACGTATCATAGAAAGTAAAAAGTAAAATGCATACACATACCCGCATCGCCCGTTTCTCGGGCAAGACAGGAGAATAATATCATAAGGGTGGGCGACAGTGAGAGAAAAACGGGAGACGAGATGAAGAATAAAGGGAAATAGAGCCCTACCCAACTTGATGACAGAAAAGGAGGGAAAGGAGGGAAATAGCCAGAAAAGTAAATCCCAAGGAGGAGGGAGGAAAGGGAGGAAGGAAGAAGTCAAGAGAAGGAATGGGATAGAATATAATAGGAAAGACATGAATGATAAAAGCCAACGTCAGGAACGTGAACCTCTTTTTTTCTTAGAAAGCAAAAAATAGGAAAAGAGGCCCAGAGCTTACTCCGAGAGGATACATAAACCTGCAAACTTTATGGTAGGAACAGAGAAAAAAAGGAAGAAAAGCAAAGAAAAGGGAGAAAAGACAAAAGAAAACTAATTACTGGCGTGCTTAGTTACTACCGTCCCCTCCCTTCCTCTCGGAAATCCAACTCCCCAAGTGAATTCTGCTGTTGGCCGTGCTGCCTTTCCATAGCGTCGTAAAATACCTCCTCCCCACCGCCACCCTTTCCCAATCCCAATCCTACCCCGGTGCGCACCCTCGGCGTACCCCCCATCTCCGCCTCCTCCAAGACCGCCCTCTCTTGTTCCCTCTGCAGCTGCGCGATCCGATCCTTATGATCGCCCGCTGTTGGTGTCTCTACCCCGGATAAGTCCGGTGATGACTTTGCTCTAATGTGGGCCGGCGGGTGGTCATTTGGGTAGTGGAATTGATACGGGTATGGGTGGACATCTTGGGATGATGTTGAGAATGTTGAGATTATGGGGGGGTTGAGGGCGCTATTGTTTGAGGTTGAGGTTGCTGAGGTTGTCGAGGTTGAAGAGGTTGAGGGGGGTTGCTGTGGGGAGGAGGAGGGAGAGGGGGACCGGGACGAAGGTTGGGGAGAGCCGGATAATATTAGCGGGGATTCTTGATCATGGTGGGGATTGGGTGGGGATCCTGATTCCGGATGTGGGGTGTAGAGGGGTTGCAGATCGCGGAGGAGACGGACATATTCTTCTGGGACCAGGCCTGATTCGCCTATATCCATTCATTTCCTATTAGTTCCGGTCCCGAAAACCCCAATTGGGGGACAGGCGTAGCTTACCAGTCTTCGGATCCTCAGCCACTAGCCAACCCACTCCAATCCGATAGCTAACCCACACAACCTGGCCTTCAACCAATGGAAGCTCATTCTCGTTCTCTCTAATAAAGTCGAATAACGCAACAGCCTTCCCATGCATCTCTTCGTCAGGGCTCGCAATAGTGAACTGATAATCCCGGCTGAACCTGCTATCCTCCTCCACAAGATCGTCATCACCGTCGCCCAAGTCGTCAATTTCATCCCTATCTCTGACATCCAGCGGCCTTCTTCCTTCCACGCGGTATCCACCACCCTGGTGGTGGTTCTGATAATATTGCTGCGCATTGTTGGATTCATATTCCTCGTCACCTTCAGGGTGATTATATAATTCCCCCCCAGGTTCTCCTCCAGCAAGGTCTGTCCGGCGCCCCAATCTGCCCGTGTAATAATCCCCTCCAGGCAAAATTCCGTTCTCCAAAATCGATCTACGTTCCCCGTCCCAGTCTTCGTCCTCACCCCCACATCCAGCATCGCCATTGCCGACCCCCCTCCCAGGCCCACACCCACCGCCGCTGACGCCATGGCTATTCCCGGCAAAGTGTTGAAGCGTAGTGGGTGTGATGGCGTTCTTGCTCTGGCCCCTGGAATGCTGAGAACTAGTTTGCAAATGCGCTGCGGAAGATTTATGCTTTCTGTGCTTGGACACGACAACCGGGCTCTGCAAATCTTCATCTTCGCTCCAAGGAGGACCGTCGGAGAAATTCAGCGGCGGGGGCTGATGGTGATGCGGATGATTGCTATTATGATTCGATCGTTGCCTGGACGAGTCCCCGCCCCATGCCGCATTCCCACCTACACCAAAGTCATAGGAGGGATGTGCGGGATCAGATAACCTCCGATAACCGCTCCCACCCCCCGTAAACCAGGTACCAGCCTGGCCTCCATGGTTACTACCATGGTCAAAGTATTGAGAACTGCGCTGGGAATCCGTAGGCGTGGATAGGCCGGACGTAGCGGACGAGGGGCCGTAGTGTAGCGGGTGAAGCGCCGGATAGGCAAAGTCGCGGACGGAAGTGTATGACAATGAGGAAACGAATTGAGGGTGGAAGGGCTCGCCTTTCGCTGAGAGAGTGGACATGATGGAGACTCTGGAGGGCTGAGGGGGTGGGAAGGAGGGTATCCGGTGCCTGGTTGTGGAAATAGTAGTTTGGGCCGGTGGCGAGGAACCGGGAGGAGGCTCGTCAAGGCCTCTTGAGGGGTTTGATGGTGTGGAGAGGGGCTTTTCAAGTGGTGGAGACGAGTCGGTGGGAATAGCAGCAGTAGTAGCAGCAGTGGCAGTAGTGGTGGCAGGCGTAGGAGTACCAGGAGTATTAACAGAAGCAGAGGCGGAAGTGGCAGTGTTAGCCCTAGCATTCGAGGCAGCGGGAGGGGAGGCAGGGGGAGGAGAAGAAGCAATAGCGGCGACGGCGGCGACGGAGGCCATGATGGTGGTTGATGATGAATATGATGTGCGTGTGATGGGTAAAACGTTGAAGCCGATGAATGGCGGAGATGGAGGGGGAGGGGGAGGGGAAAGTTCAGGAAAATGTGAGTGGGGGATGGAGGGGAGGGGAGGGGGGTGGTAAGGGCGTTGGGCTTTGGTGCAGTTGTATCGTGGGATATCTGTATCGTGTGTATGCGAGTGTGTAAGTTTTGAGTGGATGAGGGTTATAGGGCGGGTAGAGCACGTTAGGGTATGTATGCGGTGTACGAGTACTCTGCTCTGGGTGGTTGCGGTAATAGTACTGTAGGTTGGTTGGTAGTGTATTGGGTAGGTAAGCAGCGCAAAGGATGTTAAAGTGTATGATATGAGTGTGTGGTGGGCAGTGCGGTAGTCTAAATTTTGTTGTGTGCGGGTGTGGGGGGAGGGGAGAAGACTCTCTCTCCCTCTCCCTCTCCCTTTTCCCCCTTCATTCGTTCACCTTTCCTTCTCTCCTTCCCTCCACCCACTCCCTCCTTCAAAGCCTTTGGCTTCAGACTTGTATTTTAAGGTGGTTTTTATCAAGACAAACAAAGCACATAATAGGGTAGGGTGAAAATGGAAAGGAAGTCAGGGCGTGTCAACTGTTTGTAGGGATTTCGGTCGATCCCATTCCGTTCTCTACAGACGAGAGAGCGCACTGAGCTGTTCCATGGCGGTGAGCTGCAGTATTGTTTGCGGTCTCCTGAGCCCTGAAACTGTCTTCTGTTCTGTTCCTGATCTAGCGGTGTCTGCCCGTCTACGATTGCAGGAAAGAATAAATGTAAATATCGTTCTCGGCTTTCTCATAGTTTTGCACAGTACAGTACTGCACAGTGCGGTAGCCCTTCTGCATCCTCTTGACTTTTTTTTTTACAATACAGCCTTCCTCCCTTCCTTCCTGGCATGCCCCTTCCCGACTCCGTGGTCGGGTGTGTGGTGCGTTGCCTCTGGCTAACTGGCTGGCTGTCTGCCCGGCTGTTGATCGCTCGCTGTATATCTGTCCGTCTCCCTCTTTCTGTCTCGTTGTCCGCGATTGTTCACCCAGTCCACGATCTTCCACGGAATTATGGGAAACACCAGAACACGAGGAGTTTTAAGTTCAATTCCTCGTTGTGCCATATGTGCACCTGGGATCCAGATAACGAAATCTCGGATACTGTATCGGCAGAGTAGCTGTACAATTACGACACTGTAACTTAAACGAACCCTACTCTATTCACTGACACTGGGATACATTGTAACATTACGGCAGGCACAGTGTATGATACAAGTTCCTCCACCCGTATTGTGTTGGTTGACTGGTGTCCGAGTAAGTGCAGTTAGTACGGTACCTTGATCGATCAACAGAAACACAGTTTGCCAGGCACGATCGTCGTATTAATGCATGGTGTGATAAAGCATAGTGGGTACCTGTATCCCTACTGTAGATTATTGTGGCTTTGGAGGAAGCCTTCCGGGTAGAATCTTGTGTTCGAATGGTATGCCTATGATGATGCGATGTTTGGAGTACAGTACTTGTACATACTGTGCCGGTAGGGTATGACAACTTGCAGAGAGGTACAGTGCGGTACGTTGACTTACCCCGCGTCACTTTGTGTGGTTGATGGCCACTGATTCTGCCTCATGCTCTGTCGTGCGGTCCCGGTACTGGATGTACGGTGGGGTGTATGTACAGTACTGTACTCTGTTGCATCATACCGGTATGTGGGTGTAAGGAAGGAGCGAATGGAGGATAGGTTAACTTCTGGCTCAGCAATCATATGCTAAATTATCTACTGGCCACACTGTGAGAACCTAGATTTGCCTTCTTCTCCTCCTTCCCCCAAACCACCTCTAGACTACATACTTTATCGCCTTCGTTTTGCGGAAAGGGTGTGTACCAGTACCGGTACGAGGCCCGCCCTTTTCTTTACCCCATTTCTTTCTTCCTTGTGTGTTTCGCCGACAGTTTCGTCTCGTTTCTATTTTTACCCCTTCCTCGGAAACACAGATTTTTGGCTGTTTCCCCTTTCTGTTCTCGCAGGTTCCAGGTCTTGGGTGTGCAGCGTGGCCCTGTCCCCCCCCTCCTCCTTCCCCTGTTTCTAACGAACTTTTTCATTTGCACCGTCACATCGACATCCATCCATCCACCCCCCACCCAACCATCAACAACCACCTCTCCTTCTATT